TCTTGTGTATTTGCCTTGTTTACATAGCTGCAGGCTGCATTGCTAAGCAAACCTCGCTCATAATCAGATTTTAAAGTGTCTTGAATCATAAGCTCATTTGGATGTCTATAGGATCTGCATAATCTATTTCTTGCAACTTATGGCCAAACATTCTGACTGACTCATTTCTCTTTTGAGTTAAATTACATATCTGTGTCAAAATTTTATTGAGTGTTTCTCACTTTCTATATTTCTTTATTAATCTATCTGCTAGATACTGAAAATTCGCGGTCTCACGTAGTTCATCACAAGTCCTAATATAACGTTTTTCTTCTCCTGTTGTTTTTAGTCTCAAAATATCTGCTTTTTGAACATTGGTCCAACCCAAAATTCTAGCAGCCTCATTGAAAGCATCTATAAAACTCTCGACATCCTCATCGAGCCTACCGTGAAATAACGGTATAGCGCCCGTTAAGTGCATAGTGCCAGGTGGACTAACTGTGCGGGTTGATCTATCACAGCTTCAACTTTAATATCAGCCCTTCTATCAACTCTAGGTCATGTGCCATCCTCATCTCTAGTTGTGTCTACACCAGCAGTAGCCATATTTACTTACTTATATTCAACTTACACCACTTATAGAACTTCAGGCTGACTTTCTTACTTTTACTCTTTTCTTTACTCTAACCAACCGGTTGTTAGTTGCTCCAAAAAATCCTCAAAGACTGCACCAGCTGTAATAGGCGGGCCATGTAGGCTAGTCATTGTAGCTTCGACTTTACTGCCAGTCACACTTAATTGATACTCAGTTGAAGAATGCGGTGGCGAGTGGAGCACACAAGTCAATAACTCGATGAAGTTTATGGTTAGAATAAAGAATTTGACTCTGAGACTAAAATTCAAACACAAAAACACTTTTAATACTATATTGATATATTCTATTATGTTCAGACTTTCCAAAGTATCTTAGAACAAATCAATATCAAAATTATAAAAACTCTTGAAGTGGAATTGGCAACTGTTCTTCAATTATACTTTCAATAACATTCCTTAAAGCACTTAACAACATTAATAAGTTATTGATTAATACGTTAATTGGCATCAATTCTTAACATCATATCAGCAATCCTAACTATGTTATTCGATTCTAGGAAAGATGGTAATAATTTACTTGCAGAGAGTTTATACAGGAAACTTTGGGCAAGTTCAGCAGGCTTGTAGACATGGTTTCTTCTTTCTGATTATAGCAATTGTGCATAGGACTCAGAGACTGTCTTGTGCAGGTTATCTACCTCTAATAACCGTCGTGGAGAACTCTACTCTCTGGCTTCAAACAAGGGTTTTTATACTAAATTCCTCTGGTATTTTTACGATCTTCCAAATAGTGTACACAGATACCCACAAGTAGATCTGATACTAAATTGGTTGTTTTCTTCAGTTTCTTCGCAATTCTCAGAACCAGAACCAAAACCACTTAACTATTGGTTATATATAAAGTCGGTAAAGTAGCGTCGTTTATAGATAATATAAACAACTATGGTATCCTTGAATTATTCTCGACATATTTCTCTTCTTGGTCAATTGTCATTATATAACTTATTTACATTTTTATCAAGTGTGCATCACACCTCTCCTTATTGTATATATTTTCTCAATACTTGAAGCATTTGGAATGCCCCAAGGTGCCACAAATGCTTCAGTTGAGACACCCTACAATATGCTCATAATCCTATTGAACTATCCATCTATACAAAACTATCCTCAGTATACATTGTCAGAAGTATGTAAGAGAAAACTAGGAAGCTGATAAGATTAAAATTGCAGATTGATTTACTTATAAAGTAAAACTGTAAACACAACATTGTGCAAATTAGGTTAAATTATTATTTTTAAGACTTTTATTGTTACTATAAAGTTGATGACACATTGTCACCCTCTAGTGGTTCGCTCATCATACCAACACGGCTCCCCCCCCCCCAGTGGCACAAGCATTTAAATCAACTACAATACCCCTTATGTCAGAGAAGATAATTTGGGGAAGGTTAAAAGAACATCCCCATGGAAGCCCAATGCTTGTAGAAGCAGTGGAAGACCCATCCAGGCCAGCGGATTTGAAGATTGGAAGGTCACTTGTAGCAGGTCGTCAAGTAGTACCTATAACAGTGGCCAATTTCTCTGAATAATAGCAGACACTTAAGGAAGGGGCATTGTTGGGTGTGTACCAGGAGGTAGAGCCAGTCAATGTTAAAGCAAGGAATGCAACTGTGAAGACAGGACATACACTTCCGGAATAAGAAGAGCATAGTCCATTTGTCGTCATCACAGGCTCTACAATGCAAGAATCCGGGTTTCGATACCCGTGGTGGGCAGAGCACAGATAGCTGTTGCATTGTGCTTAACTTCAAACAAACACGACCTCTGGAGAGTAGCACTCAAATTTCAGGTCTTTTGCGTATTATGTAATAGTTATGTTACCCTCAGGCGGCATCCTTTGGACGTTGAACAAGCACCCTAACTATTAACTTCACCTGGTTAAGTTTGCTTGCTTAGAATTTTTGCACAATGCAAACAAGAGTTATTTACAAATATCCCTTCTTAAGTTTTAACTGATTTACTAAAGAGTTAAACAACAGCACACGTCATCACTTTTTGAGCTACTCTTGTCTGCTCGAACAGTGGGATTTAACCATCACTCTTATAGCGCACCTATGGTCCCGAAGTATTTTACGGGAATGCCTATAAAAAAGCTGCCCCCCCCCCCCAGTGGCACAGCGGTATTTCTGCGGATTTACAATGCTAGAAAACGGGTTTCGTTACCCGTGGTGACCAGAGCACAGATAGCCCATTGTGTAGCTTTGTGCTTAACTTCAAAACAAACAAACAAACAATAAAAAAGCTATACACAATTTGGGTTATATAACCAGTCCAATGAGATGTCCAATGACGCTAACAAGATAATTCAAAATAAAAGCACTTGACGGGGCTTATTTTAGAGGCTATGACTGGCTGAACTCATCTTTAAATCATTATTTATTAAATACATAAAATAAAATCTCGTTTTAATCTGTAACACTTCCTACATTAATAAGCAATATAAGTATAGAATAACAACTGAAAGAGGTAATCAAGGAGCATCTGAGAGAAAAGATTTTTATCAATTTGGCTTCAGCTGAATATCATGGCATCTCGAAAGCATATATATTTTAATAATTTTGTACAAAGTTTTTTGGACTTGTATCCTATACGATATATCTACAGCAATAAATTTGAAGTTTTATGTTTTTCACATCCTCTTATTACAAAAGACCTGTATTGCAAATTGAAAAATTGAAACTCAAATGTTTTATAAGCTCCCCTGCATATGCTGCACATAAAAATTTAACTAAATAAAAAATAATTATAAACGTAGTGTTATACATATATGAATAATTATACCTTACATTAGAAGAAGAGTTTAGTCATGACTTCAGAAGAGTACATTTTGTCAAAAACAGATAATTTGCGTTGGTTACTCTAACCCTACTTGATATGTTGTTTCTTCGCTTTTCTCTGTGGTTACTAATGCTTACTTTTTGAAGAAATTTTTTGCTTAAGCAATTAAAACTAGATGCATAAGACATAAGTTTAATTTGTAACATTATTTTAATTATTTTTAGAAAAAGAAGATTTAACTAGCGCAAGAAATTGATTTTAAATGCTCCCTAAGAATTAATTAGGTCTTAATTGAAGATAAAAAATATATGATTAAAGTTCAGCTCTCCATATCTCAGTTTCGTATTTTTCAAAATAGTATGCCCTCCAGTGGCATGGTGGTGTGTCTGTAGATTTACAACGCTAAAAACCGGGTTTCGATACCGTGGTGGTCAGAACACGGATAGTCCATTGTGTATCTTTATGCTTAACTTCAAACAAACAAAATAGTAAAATATCAAGCAAAGAGTACCTTTTTTTGCATCTTTTACAAACTAAGAGCTAATTTTATTGTTTCTTGAATACTTTTAAGTTACTCAAAAATCATTAAACCTTTCAAGCATGATTTTTAAAACACAAATAATACATAACTAACTAAAATATAAAAGTAAGACAATTTTTAAATACAATTTTAAAGTGGTCTTTGGTGAATATTTTTTGTGTCTCGTTTATTTGTTTATTTCATATATTCTCGCAAAACTATGCATAGTCTATCTGTGCTATAAGTCCATAAATTTTAACTGGTCAAATAGGAGAAATACAACAGTCACATTACTGGATCTCTTGGACCTATCTTTTTATGAACAAAGAGAAGAATCGACAGTCACTTAAAGCGTAACATCGCTCCAAAGCAAGGGGACATAAGCCATGGACCCTCGCATTCAGATTCTGGGCGCGCAAACCACTAGATTAAGCACGGTTCCATGAGTTTTGTTGATACCTAAAAAAATTGAAAGAGGACCAGAGTTACATTGTAATCGTCATTCAGATGTAAAATTAGCTTTTGTTTATGTGCTGTTAAAGGTAAGAAAAAATTTAGCCTATGATTACTAAATTGGCTTAAAAGCAAGGAAGATCACAAGATAATTTATGTAAGTAACAATAAGCTCAAGTTGATTTTTTATTACCAGGCTTGATTACGTTATTGCTCTAGGTAATTAATCGCATTTGTTTTCAATTTTATCTATTTTGTTTGCCAAGAAGTTGTGCATTTGAAGGAGAAAAGTATCAATGTGTTTGCTGAAATAATAGTTGCCAGTTTTACTATTTAAATTCAAATTTGAATGGCTTGACATTATTTAATTTTTTGAAATATTGTAGTACGGTTTATTAGATATCTGCATATTTTTAATTGTTAAATATGAATATGTTTTATTGAAATAAACAAACTTATAAGAAAAAAAATTATTTTAAATTATTCATCGTGACTTTAGTCATCAAGGTAACAGCGGGTGATTTTTATTATCTTCTGTAGTACACTTGTATCATAATACAATAAACCATGTTTGTTGTTTTAATGTAGTTCGTTAAGTCTTATCTTTGTTCAACAGTTATCTGGTGGGGTCCGTAGTAGTGTTGTGTCTGATGGTATGACCAGGGCGCCTGTCGTTCGACTTGCAACAGCATGTCAAGCTGCGTAAGTACAAGTGTAATTATAATAGATCTATTTAAAAAATTTTGAGAATTGCGTTAAATGAATAGTTCTTTATTAAAATTAATTGTACTATAATGCCCTTTTATAGGTTTATTTATAATAACTTGTTGTTCTTTTCAAATCGTTTTCTTATAGGATTGATTAGCCTAGAATCCTGTATATATTTGTACGAAACAATGTAAATCATGTGTTGCGTCAGCGAGGTCACGTGACTAGTGTGACGCCACGTTTGTAGAACTATCTTGTTCCTTCATGAATGCCCT